ACTGAATTTTCACCCTGTATGGCTAATTCTATGTTTTCCGTGTCTTCATTTTCTTCTAACACTCTTATTAAGCGACCCCTAAACTCTATTTTAGGATCCTTGACTACAAGGATCCCTGTTCCAAATGTTCTCCTAACAATCACCGGAATAGTCCAAAGAAAGGACCAAGTTAAAAAGAACCAATTGCCATTATTACATTGTCCCGCCATAGCGGAAATTCCTAAACTTATTCCAACAATTATATAATATCCAGATGCCAACGAGGACAAACGATCCAACACAGATGCATTTGCTGTGCAGTTTTTAAGAATTTTCTTTTGCTCCGAAGTAATCAGCATATCTTTAACATGATGGCCAACTGGTTGGAAGTCAAGTATTTCTCCATTTGTTGTAACAAAATATTCTTCTGGGAGCCAATATATACACATTTCCACTGGGTTATCTTTTATGTTCAAGCAATAAAAGAGACCCGTGTAAGGTGTGGAAATGCATTTGAAAATCCAGGTTAGTTTATGTACCAAAGATTCAAATGGTGCTGCCCCCAATGTTAAGATTACAGGGATGAGACCCAGCACATATTGTGGCATGGGTTCTTGTAATTTAAGAATTACTCCAATTACTGAATTTTGTGACATTTTTATGTTAAAACTTTGACGTAAATTAGCTTTATTTATAAGTGAAAAATTAATTGTCTATATTCCTAATAAACATTTCATTCACAATTTGAAATTTGTTTACAGTGTAACGAAAATAATGGCGGTTGCTTATCTAAACAAGTATTGAAAGATAAATGAAGGCGGGTTTGCACGATTGCAAAGCATAATTTAATAGGTTTAGATTCACTTAAAATAAAAAAATTTATATTGCCAATTTTTTTGTAAAGCTAATTCACACTTTTTTTTTAAAACCTTCACAAAATTTTTGACTTTAATAATTATTCTAACGCAAAAATATACATAATAATTATACAAAAAAATTATATAGATTGTATCTTAAGTTCTGAAGATTTGGCATATAAAATCACATGCTTCTATATTTTCTAGAACTTTGTCAATTAAAAATAAAAGAAATCCGATTATTTTTTTAAAAAAAAGTATATAAAACCTTGGATCAGACAGCCATTATCCTGCTTATGTTCAATAGTACTCATTCTTTAGGCATTTTGAAATCATGTTCAACGGTATGTTCATTTCCTGATGTATTGTTCCTTGATGAACGAGCATTATCAGGCTAGTAATGTAAATAACGTGAAACATTTTGAAGTTAGGCCTCAATATTCGTGTGACACTTACTTATAAGATGCTAGAGGTAGAAAGTAGAAGTAGACGAAGCCTTTTATTTTATAAATGTCTTCAATGAGAAATAAGAAAGCTGGTATGGATATGCGAATCATGATAAACAACACATTTTATTGTTTGTTATGCAAAATGTTGTATCGTGAACCACCATTAATTTCGTTAAACACTGTATAATTCAGCCCATGCGGACAATTTCCGAAAGGTTACATCTTTATCCCTCTGAACACAGGGATAGAGGTGTAACCTACCCGGAAATCGTTCACATATGGTGGTATAATTAATAGATGATTTTTTAATTTGTTAATAACCTTTTAAATGCGCTTTGTGATCAAATGTAACAATTCTCATTTACAACTGATGTGTTAACAAATCATCATAAAAATTTGTTGTGTAATACAAATTTAATAGTTCTTCGCCATTCCCTTGACGATATTTACCTTAATAAAGACAAATAAAAATATCAAAATAATATTATTGATCACTATTTTAATACTGCTACGTTGATTGTCAAGTATTTATATTCGAAGAAATATATTTGGAAAATCCGAGGTTTTACAAATCCAACTCATTGTAAACAATAGCGACCTTTCTCTTCTTTGCAAAACTTACATGAGAGTACAGATATGAGTAGCCAGTGAAAAATCTCTGGTTTTCAAATCTAATTTTTTTGAGAAGGAATTCTTGTATTAATTGAAGAAAAAGTTTTATTTGTTTGTATATGTAATTTTATTTATGCTACACCATCATTAAAAAAGGAAATTCGTTATGACTAAAAATTTTTCTCGTCACGGCGCAACTCACATGAAAAAAAATATTTTCCCCTCCCCAATTTGAGAGAAATTAAAAACGCCACTCCTTGAACTTTTACTTGACAAACTTAACAAACTCCAATCTCTCTAAAAACTCAAATTTAGATTGGCCAACAAAAAACCGGTCATATAGACGATTGACTTCTTGACTACTCAACAACAACAACAACAAAAAACTACGTTGGATTGGATACATCCACCCACACAACGCCAAACTAAAAATGAATAGCTGAAAAGATGAAAATTTTCAATAATGAATGTTCTTCGCCTTCCTTGATGGATGTATATAATAGTGAAAAAAAAGTGGGTGAATATAATAAATGATTTATGTATGATAATATGCTGCGGGTGTTGCAATTTGGCCACCTGTTTGAAAAGTCAAAAGAACTCGTAATGGCTACTCAAAATCTGCACAAGATTTGATCAGTTCGTGTGGCTGCTTTAGAGATCTACTTATTAAAGATTCTTCCTTTATTTATCAGATCAACATAATATTAAAAAATTTATTTAACTACATCGTATGGGAAATCTCATTAAATGATGATGGCTCTATAAAAAGAGTTGATGAAGGCGGTTGGAATGAATACAAAGCATTAACCTTAGAAAATAGATTATTTTCATTTTGCAGTTATACTGATGATTGGTCAGAATTAAATGCTGATGTCGGCATTGATAATGAAATCTATTATACCGTTTTCAACTAATAATATTTAACAAACATGCTTGCTTTTACAAATGTGTTTTTTATGAATTATTGGCTGGGATTTCCCCTGGTTTTACTTTATTATAAAACTTACAAGAACCAGCCGATAAAATATTAAACAGTTGACGCAATAAAGTTGAGAAAACCTGTAATCAAAATTATTCTTCAGAGGTTCCATATTAACACCTAATTTTATGGAACACAAGCGCCAAGGATATCTTTACAATCAATTATTATAAAAAACAAGGAAGATATCATAAAATTGTATTACAGTTAATCATGGCGCCAGGCAAATTTTATTTAAATGAACCTTCCTAAATAATAATCATTTACCAAAGTTTTCTTATATTGTGATTATGAGATCTATATTGCATTGTTGTCGCATAGAGGTTGATACCGTTAACCATTAATTTTGGGTGTTGCAAATTTCAAAGAACACATGAACGTGTAATGATGAAATAAATATGGGAGATGCTAATTCCACTAGAGTTTCCAGCTGCTCTACGTAGAGAGCATCAATCTTTTCTTTTGACTAACACTAATGATGTCAAGCAGCAGAAAATTTTCCCCCATTCCACAATTTTTTGTACATATCACATGACCAATTTTTTTCGCCACATATATGGATGTCATTAGTTCAGCTTAGGTTCAGCTTAACCTAGTTTTAAAGTTCAAGCAGATTAAACTTTTTTTAAAAAAAAAGACTTTTTACAAGTCAAATTCGAAATATGAACATAGTTATATAAATATTCTTAGACATGCATGCTAAATTAGGGCTAAATTTATTCAAATGGACGGTTTAGCTCCAAATCTGCCAACAATATTCAATGTCATTTTAGCAATTCATATTTTTATCGTTATATATTAATATTCTTTTATTTACCGTTAATTTTCTTGAGCATGTGCTTCAACATATTTAAAGTATAATTGAAGGCATGTTTGAAGTGCGTTTCGGGCGGTTATTAAAACATTAGTGGTTGAACTCAGTCTAGTTACGCTCTACCAAAGAAAATTAACGTCCCTACTCACATAGCACCACAAAATTTTTATTAAAATTTTAAAATAAAGTACATCAATTCGTTACCTGAAACTTGGAGCCAAGAAAGGTGAACAGAAAAAGATATACAATATTTAAAAAATAAATGACCAAATAAATTAAAAGCTGAAAATTTTATCAGAATTAGATTTAGAACACCCACCCACTCCATCTGAAACTGGATCAACAACATCATCCAGATCTCACCGAAAGAAAAGTTTCGACAGAAAACAGGCCTTGTTTTTCATTTTTTTTGGTACTTATGCAAACATTAATTCTCGCACATAATAATAAATAATGTTACATTCTTTCATTAACTCGTAATATTGTAACGATGAATGTGACAAGTGAATATTATGAGGCTGTTAATAATAAAGATAATGAATGTTTTGATACAGGTAATATATCTCTAATGCCACGAGTGAGATAAAAATATTCGGAAAATACATAATAAAAATCCAAAACTTGGGACTATTTCAAAGATGACGGAAATAGCATTGATTGTAAAGTATTAAATTGCGATGCTAAATATTCAATGAATTCTGTATTTTGTTCAAATGAATCTACGTATTATTCTAATGATATTTTTTTTTTGGAAAAAAAAGCCAATCAAAAAAACAGTCTTTTGAATTGTTTGAAAGGATTAAGGAACGCAATCCCTATCATAGTCATTTAGCATGTATAATAAAATCAAAAATTTTCATGTGACTAAATTAACCAGTTAATATTAATAATAATTTACACTTTCTTTAAAAAGATAACAAGTTCGTCCACCCAATTCCCAGTTCTGTAAAGTTATAGTATGTATTACATATTTACATGTCCCCACTTTAATTGAACAATAAAGTATTTTACTTTAAAAATTACGTTACACGCATATAAAAATAGTGTAACATTTTGAATGTCCACCATGCTCTATTAAACAGATTGATTATCTATTAATAACAGGCTCCATGGTCTAGTCGTATGATTCTCGCTTTGGGTGCGAGAGGTCGTGGGTTCAATTCCCGCTGGAGCCCATCAAAAAAATTTTTTGGCAAATTTTTTCTAACAAAACTTTATTAAATGATATTCTGCAACAACAACAAACAACAAATATATGTAAACAAAGTTATCAATTGAAAAAAAAACATAGTAAATTTTTCATTTTGCAACTATCTACTTTCTCTAACAATTCTGTTGTTATCTGCTGCACGGTTATGCGATTGATGGGATGTTTGTCCACTTCGTCCTTGACTTGTAGATGGGTTGTATTGGTTAGATGAAGGATTGAATGCATTAGCACGAGAATTTGCCGAAGATTTGGCAGATGAAGCAAAACCACCGCCACCGCCGCTTTTACTACCACCACTTTTACCGCCGCCGCTACTTTTACCGCCGCCACCGCCGCCTTTTCCTGAACCTTTGCCCCTAATTTTTAATAATGATGATTTATTAATTTATTTATGCGTAATCAATTTTCTTCAAAGAGAAAAAACTTACATATTTAATGTTTTTTTGTGTTTATTTTAAATTCGGATTTTTTTTTAAAAAAAAAATTTATTTGTTGAATGTGCGAGCGCGCATTTTGGTAGGTGTCGTTTTATATATTGGCAAAATAAGGAAATTGTTTGCTATTTATATTTATCAATATGATTTAACTTTGCATAAATTACGACATAGTTCTATTTCACACTACCACGGTCACATGTTATTAATATATACTTCTGAAGGGGAAAAAAATATATCAAAATCTCGCATTAGTATTAGAAATAAAAAAAACCTTTGATCGTTATACGAAAGTTTTTGGAGTTGGATTCACACACCCACACTAGCACGTGAGTACGTGAGAGAGTGATACATCGAATTTAAGTCCAAGTTTTATTATTATTATGGAAAATAATGTTTCCATTACTAGCATGAATTCAACGATGCTCCTTGTGAAACAAGAGAATTAAAGACAAAGTCAACATGATTTTAATAATAATATAAAGGAAAAATTCTAAAAATAAAAACAGTTGAAGATTAATATAATGTGTAAAAATTCCCATCCAACTTAATTAATTAAATGGGAATAAAAAACATTGTAGTAATTAAAATGTCCAGAGAATTAATAATTCACCCTATTATCACCGATTCGTTGAATTATTCATTTCTATTTCGCATAACCTTAACTTTATTTAGTAGAAATCAACGTATAAGCAATTAATGTGAAAGTAATTATAGTAATGAAAATGCTACTAATTAACTTAATTGTATACAAGAAGTTTGAATTCAATATATTCGTAAAATAAGTTTAATAACTTTTAGCTTAGAAATAAGTTAATAATGAATAAAATAAAATAAATAAGCATTTATAAATCACTAAGCCAAAATTATTCGTTAATAAAAACCAATTCAGATCCACGTAATCACAAAACACTCGCTCCCAAATATAATTTTTGATTTAGCAATTTGTATTATATGCATCTGACTAAAATCAATTTCATGTTTTTTAATTTAGAAAATTTGAATTGAGTTATTCTCAGCAAATTGACCAAGTTTTTCAATAGTTTGTCTTTTTGATAGTTCCCGCATCCCAAAATCTTTGCATAATTTGTACATAATCATCAGACATTCCTGCCTGGTGATATTGATGGTCGTAAACTCTCACATATATCAAAAATTAAACGATGATTATGGGCTTTATTGTCAAATGGTGGATGTCCTGCAAATCTTTCCCACATAAGCACCCCAACACTATAAATATCTGATTTCTTTTGTGATCTTTGTGTTGTTTTTTGTCTCCAAGTAGCTCAAGTGCAATATGCAATGTGTTTAGAAAAAAAAAAGGCACCAAAGTGTAAATTTATTTTAAAATGAACCGGTTAGCTCCTGGAAATATGTTGATATTGGAGAAGATACCAAGATAAAAAACCAACTCACGCACGTCCATTGATCTGATAAAAAGGAATTATACCAAAAGATTTTTATGATCACATGATGTTTATAAGAAAAATCTTATGGAAAACATGAATGATTTAACCAAAGAAAAAAATATGGAAAATACGTTATAAATACAGAAATACGTTTTGGTATTGACAAACATATGAAAAGGAATAAAATTAACAAAAATGTTAATAAAAATAAAAAGTATAAAGATAATAAATCCACATTATCAGATTGGATAACAAATAATATTTGGATTTGGAGTGTCGTGGATGTTTTCGTGACAATTCACTATATATAATTTTATTATTGAAGTGTAGTTATAACTATTAACAGCCACATGAAAAGAACGGTAGAATACGGGAGGCATTCGTTTATTTAAATTGTTTATTGTATTTTTAATATATAATTAATCGCTCAAAATAAAAAACGTATGTTTATTATATGTTGCAAAAACTTTCATTTCTGAAAAAAGAATTCGCGTAATAGGCTGGTCATCAAACAGCTCTGATCTTAAAATATGTTTCCAGGGAGTTGTAGATATTTATGGTTGAAGAATGGGAAAAAATTCAGTCAAAAATATTATTGTGACTATGAAACGGAAATGTGAATTGGTTTTAGAAAAAAACGGCGATAGAATTTCTTATTGTTAATTTTTCGATAAGATTCCAATGAATCTAGTTTTGTTAATCTACCTTGCATAATTGTTTTGAAACACTGTATGATAAATCACAATGGATTTTATCATATATTAAATCTTTTTGTGTAATGCATCGCATAAATATACACTGCCCGGAAGAAAGTATCCGAACCTAGCTTTTTATTAATATTAATTTCGCACACTTTTACATAATAAATTTTTTTTTTGAAAATATCATCATGTAGCTTAGGTTCTAATGGAATGTGTATGCAATATTTCACAATTCTGGTATTTATATTAATTTTTTTAACCAAAAAAAAACGATCAATTAAATTTGTTTAAATTTGTATTTTCTCAAAATTTTACATAACGAGAAAAAAAAAATACCATTTTGTAGCCTAAGTTCTAAGATATAAATTATGGAAAAAATTATTTTCCTGCCATTGGTAGAAAATTTGTTAATAATAAAAATGCCAAAAAATTACGAATTAACTGAAGTTGAGCGTGGAAAAATTTTTGGGTCTTAGATTAAGTGGTAGTAGTCTTAATAAAATTGCAAAGATACTTAAGCTTCCAAAAACTACAGTTTATGATACCATTAAACGTTATGAAAATGCTAAAGGCCTAAGAAGTGCACCAAGAAATGGACGTCCCTGTGCATTAAATGTTAGTGAACAAAAAACTCTCAGAGAAATTTCATTAAAAATTAATCGCAGTTCTGCAGAAGAGATTCAAAGAAAATTTGTTGGTGGTCAGTGGTGTAGAAGTGTCAGTTAAAACAATTCGCAAAAATTTGCATGAACTTGGGATCCAGTCCAGGGTTGCCGCAGTGAAACCTCTATTAACAGATCAACACAAAGAGAAAACCGGTTAAAATGGTGTTTAGATAGAAGAAATTGGATAATCAGACAATGGAAATCTGTTATTTGGCAAAAATGGATAAATAATAATAATATAAAAATCTTATCCAATTTGCCATCTCAATCTCCTGATCTTAATCCAATAGAACATCTTTGGGATGAATTAGAAAGAAGATTAAAAAAACGTGAAATCCATCCCAAGAATTCTCAAGAATTAGATATTTCTTTGCAAGAGGAGTGGTCTGATATTCCTGAAGAAGTTTATAATAAACTGATTGAAAGCATGCCAAAGAGTATTGAGGCACGCATATCTAATAATGGATGGCCCACAGAATATTAAATTTTTTATTAGGTGATGTTTTAATAAAAATTTTGGTTTTTAGAAAATTTTTGATCATTTTTATATTTTTTATATTAATTGAAGTTCGTTTTTTTTTTTGGTTAAAAAAATAATATAAATAACAGAATCATGAAATATTGCATACACAATCGTTAGAACCTAAGCTACATGATGATATCTTCAAAAAAAAATTTTTATTATGTAAAAGTCTGTGGAATTAATAAAAAACGAGGTTCGGATACTTTATTCCAGGGCAGTGTATATTGTAACCCCTATCCTCCATCTTGCAAATAATTTAAAATCATTGCGTGATTTCCGTCGTCGAAGAATTTAGCACATAACAATTGAATTTGATAATAATTCAGATATAAAATCAATTAATATACAATGCGGAACATCTACACTCAAAATTTAAAAGTTTTGAAACATTATTATAATACACATTAAAAAAACTACCACCATTTCAGTCCAGCTTTAAGGAAGTCAATTCATGTAAAAAAAAATTAGTAATTTTTTTTAAGGATAGGGTTTCTGATCAAAAATAAAAGTGATATTCAAATATTCATAATTATTATCATTTAATTGAAATACTTGTGGTTAATTGAAATACTTGCAACTATTCGAAATACTAATGTTTATAACTATTTGAAATACTTGTGACTGTTCAAAATACTTATTATTATTATGTCTGTTCAGAGTATTTATGCTATGCCTTTGAAATTGGCATTCGAAATATTTTGTAACACCTTGCCAAATGACAACTAATATTTTATGACTATTCGAAATGTTCGAAATTCTACCCATTGCCGAAAATCATCTGATGTATTTCATAATTCTTTTTGGATATTTGATTATTCGAAAAAGAGGGGGTTAATGATCGGAAACACCAATTGCAATATTTTGGATTAGATGACCAAATTTGGTAATTGATTTACTTTTGATAATGTTTCATTCTATGAAAAAATTTGTTACCAAATTTGGAATGTTCAATGCTAAGTTTTAGCTTTTGAAGCTGAATAAAACTTGCCAGCTAACTTTTTTAAAATGATATAAAATTTTTGAAGCAATTAATTGATTAAATAAAAAAACTATAAACTTCATCAAGAAATGCTTTTCTTGGATTATTATTTTTAACTTTTTAATGTGATATCTTGCCTTCCCAAAATATATTTCCTCTTGTCCATGCAGCAATATAAATTTACCTTCAACCAACTTTGTTCTATAACCATATTACTCAAAGGTGTCCATTTAAAACGTAATTTGGCAAAGATGATTTCATTTGAGATGAGTGATGCTAACGTAATTAATGAACTTTTTTTTAAAAAATAAATAAAAATCGTATCACTAAAGAGATACAAACATGAAAACTAAGGGAAATTATAGTAAATAGATCAAACTTTTGGGCATAGAGGGGTTTTTTTCTTTCCAAATAAAAAAAAATTTTTTATATATATAGTAAATACATAGATAAACTTTATAACCCAATGAGATAGAGAAAAAAGCTCTATATAGTTTATTTTGAGCAATAAAAACAATAAAAAGTTTTGTTTAATGGTTTAAAGCCATTTGATTTATTTACCATAAAAATTTCTATTGAGTTTGTTTATATTACATATTAGTAAAAGCTTCTTTTTATAATTCATGTTTTAAAAAATATATTTCTTATCTTTATCATATAAAAAATAATAATCTTTTGATGATCGAAATCATAAGACATCACAATCATGTAATTTCCAGATGTCCAAGTGGTGAAAAGACCCTGTAACTGTAACTAGTACAGCCCTTCACAGAATCTAATAGGGTATTTGGTTGATTTACACTTGTTGCATTCTTTTTATTTGCCCAATTTATAAAATCACAAATAAATTTTCCATATTTTTTTTTTGACTATCACAGTTAACAACAGCATTGTCATACATTTCTTTATACAAACTCCCATCTTTATTGTGATAACAATCTACCATGTGACATTTTTAACTTTAGTTAAAGATAACGAAATTCACTTTGAAAATCATTTAACATAATCCATTATCAATTCATATTATGAAATTAGTAAACTTCAGTCGGGGAACCTACTATCATTGGGATTTTGGAGATCAAAAAATACTTTTTTAAAAAAACTAAAAAAATACTAATTTTCTGGGATAACGTTGAAACTAGCCTTTAAAATTTTTTTTTGATAATTCGGTAAATGAAATGACACGAACATATCATATTAATACTAGTATGCATTTTGGGAATTTGGAAAAGGGCAAGTATAGCATGTATTATCGAACTATCTTCTTCGAGCAAAGGTCATTTGCAAGAAGAAAGTTGATTTTAAACACCAACCCACCCGGAGATCATTAATAGAACATTTAGGATAATAGTTATACCTCAAAGAGTTAGGGATTTATGATCTACCTACGAGTGACTAGAGTTACCAGCATAAATTACAATTGATGCCTTCCCCATGGTAGAATAAAGTCAGCATTGAAGCATAACTTATAATCTTATGTTATGAACAATAAAACAATAATCAGGTTATATATTTACTGTTAATCTGTCAGAAGATATTATAAAATTGATGAGTTGGATCTAACTTTTGCCAGAGTGATGCTATACCACGCAACAAATGATGTTTCCACCACCACAACGAATTCAACAATTCAACAATGCTCACATTTTAATGCTACAATTTGACTACCAAAATAACTAAATTCCTTTTTATTTTCATCATACTCATTAATAGTTCCTCTTGTCCATGTAGCAACATAAATCGAACTAAATCGACCTTCAGTTAATTTTTCTATATCATCAAATTGTTCATATGGTATCCATTCTAAAATATAATATGGTAAAGATGTTTTCATTTGACATTGTTTAATAAAGTCATCAACTATGTTGTTTCCAGATGTCCAAGTATTGAAAAGGCTCTGTAATTGTAAACTAATACAACCTTCACAGAATCTACCAGAGTATTTGGTGGATTTACACCTGTTACATTCTTTTGGTTCTCCTGTTTCATAAACTGCATGCATTATTTAATTCTAAATCATGAATAATCTACAAAATTCTTTTTCATTCTCGGAAAGCTTCCTCGTTCCTTTCAACCAATGAAGAAAACCACTCTTTTATACTTTCTCTATCAGAATTAACAAAAGCATTACTACACACTTCATTATAAAGTTAAATACAAACTCACTCCTTTCTGGTGATAATAACTTGCCATGTGACATTTTTAACATAAAATTTGGAAATCAAAATACAAATTCACTTTTTTCCTCTATCATTTAAAAAAACAATAAATATATTATTGTGGAAAGTCTAATTCACTGTTAAATTTCGATTAAACTTAATTAATTTTTCTGCAATAACATTGAAAGAAAATGACATGAACGCAGCTTAATAAATTGTAACGAACGTATTGGTACTAGCATACATTCCAGGAATTTGTAAAAAAGGAAATATGTAATATCAAACTGTCTTCTTCAAGCCAAGGTTATTTGTAAGAAGCAAGTTAATTTAAACATCCACCCACCTGGAATGTAAATTTCTCTCCAATTGAAACAAATGACGAAATGAATCAAACAATTCTCCGAGTTTCTAACTTGCGTAGTCGACTAGCATTATTGATTCAAAAGCACGACTATCAGAGCATTCTAATGGCGAGTAAATAAATCCGAGAGACATGTAAACAAAAAGTAAAAAGACATAGAAAGCATCAAGTGAAGTTTAGATACAAAAGCATTTGAATTCGGTCGATGTCAATAGCAATTCATTCTCTAGAGAAACTTCATTATACTGGGCCAATGCGTTTTGCATTATCATAGAAATAATGAACGCACCAGCCATGGAATTTCCAAACTGAATATTTAAGATAATCCACCCATTGAAATCTTGAAAAGTGTTTCTGTGCAAATGCAAACATAATAGACATTTTATTTCGTAATAATAACATCTTTTGCGAATTGTTGAATAAATTTGCTAACTAATTTAGGAATGCTCTATAATCAACTAAACATATTAACATTAATGGTATTTTCCCGATTCCGTCCGTTCTCTGTAAATTTCATTATGACATATGTGGATAGAGTATTTTCATGAAACTGAGATCAAATGATTTATAAATAGTAAGTGACGAATTATAATTAATATTGTTATATAGATATAGTTATATTTATAGGCAGAAAACATTTGAACTCCTGAAAAAAATTTTTTTTTTGTGCGATAAATAAAATTAATTATAATTAATTAAGCTTTTTTTTTTTAAAAAATTCCAATAAAAATTTTCAAATATTAATCAAGTGTTGTCAGACGACTGACAAATCAACCTTACCAAATGGAGATTTTTGACAAAATTGGTCAAAGGGACCGAAAAACCTATATGGTATTTCGTTATTGTTGATCCTGTATGGAAATTTTGCAGTCCCCAAATTTTAAATAGAACAAACGCGTGTTCTTTTACATTCATTATCAATCATTTATCTTCTTATCAATAGTATTACGATTTAGTATAAAGTATATCGAAAAGAATTAAAATATTTTTCTTTGTGAATTTTTAATGACATCAATTTAATACTTGGCTTCCTTGACGAAAAAGTTTTAATTAAATACCACACACACACATACGCACGCAACACACACACGCACACGCACACACACACACACACACACACACACAAAACAATTGCCATTCCTTTCTTTTTATTTTTTTGATTAAATAAATTACTCGTCGTTTTTTTGCTGGGGTTAATTGCTTTTCAGAAATTGAAATGAAATTTTCTAAATCTTTTCAAAGTGAAGCCGTGCCAGAATGGAAGATTAAGTAAGTACAATTAATTTTTCGAAATAAAATTTAAATTGCCTTTTTCACACATACATATTTATTTTTCGATTTTTTAACGCTTAGGTATATTGATTACAAAGGATTGAAAAAAAAGTTACGTTTGGTTCAAAAAGCTCGAATATCAAGAGAAAGGGAATTAAGTTACCCATTATCAAATCGTCAAACACCATTACAATATGATAAAAATCAAGGATTTCAAGAAAACCAAAGAGAAGTAATTGAAAAAGATGAAGAAATTCAAATGGATGACGAATTTCATCACCATTCATACCCACATGAATTCCCAACACCCATAACACCACCACCACCATTAAATACATCAAGGCGAACTTCATACCAATCCCAAACTAGTCAAGGAAGATTTAGCTTTACTGGGATGGCTGAAACCGCCAACTCCTTCATGCGTGGAGTCTCATGGAAATTGCATAATAATCCAAAAAGACAATCTATTTCGGAAAATAGTAATTAATTAGTTATTTTTTTTTTAAAAAATAAAAAATTTCCGTGATAAATAATAATAATAATTTTTTTCTCGAATACAGCACGGTATCCGTTAATAACATCATTAGATACAATTATGGACCAAGTAAACCCGGAAGAACGAGTTTTTTTCGTAGCTTTAGAACAAGAATTAGAAAAAGTAAAAATATTTTATGATTGTAAGGACCATTTTTAAATTTTTGTACATATTATATATAATATAAACGATTATTATTTTTATATTAATAAGAATATTCCTTACAGCACAAGAGAAAGAAGCTATAAGGCGTTTTGCCATTCTTCAACAACAACTCGAAGATTTAAAAGCCTTAAAAAATAATAATAAAAAAACGTCAGGGCGCGTAAGTTTGTATAAAATATACATATAAATCTAATAAGTCACATTTAATTGAGTTTGTTGTTTTTTATTGTTTTATATAGAATATAAAGCAAAGTATAGGAAACATTGCAACAAGAATGTCGTCGTCTTCTTTTGGTAGAAATAGTGCATATGATTTTGCAGTTGATTACAAAGAAGCAAAGAAAAAAATAAGAAAAGCAATATTTGAATTTTATAGAGGTGTAAAAATGCTAAATGAATACAGGGTATTTTTTAAATTATAATAAAGTATAATAATAATAATAATAATAATAATAATAATAATAATAATAATAATAATAATAATAATAATAATAACAACAACAACAACAACAATAACAATAGTTACATCAATGTAAACCCTCAACAAGCATTCTTAAATGATAACAGTTTTAATTATTATTATGATCAATATTTATCGTCAAACGAAAATGACAATAGTAATAATGATAATAATGATAAGTTAATTGACACTTCTTCGGCAAATAGCTCTCCTAATATCGAGACCCCTGTAATTAATGATTACATGTTGCCATCGCCTCAATTTATTAACGATTCGAATACTTCTCCTATTTTTTCATATAATTCTTACGAAAATTACGATTGCACTTCTACTACTCCTTTACTTTACAATAACAATATTAATTTCTACGAAAATTATGATTTTAATTTCAATGATAACATCGACAATAACCATGCTTGTAATTATTAAATACACGTACACGCATGACGAACTCACAAACACATTCAAAAAATATAATATATAGATTAGGAAAAAAATCGAATTCCTTTTCGTTTGTAAATCTGCTTTTTCATTTATTGTATATGTTTTTTTTTTAAAAAAAATCTATTAAAAATAAAAAAAAATAAATAAATCTAAGAAACTTATAATTTGTTTTTTCATTTTTTTTTAAAAAAAATAAATTTCAATTTTCAATGTTGTTTGTTGTTTGTTGTTTCATTTTCTATTTGCTCTTTTTTCATTGTTCAAACAATATTAAACAAGTAACCAATAACATTTCTTTTTATTTGTGTTCTAAATATGTCAAATATTTGAAGTTGATCATCATCATGATACAGTGACTGCCGATCATTAAAAATATTAGTTTAGTCGTAATAACGTTATTATTATATATGTATAACAGTAATATATAGGGAAAAATTATTACAACACCAATAATTAATATTAAATGTTTAATAACATTGTCCTTTTCTTATATGTCATCCTTTAGCAAACAAAAAAACAAAACAAAATAAACAAACTACAGTTCACTCTAACGAACACTAAGTAAAATCTCTATAATGAACTTCCCTTTTAATTAATTTCTCTCTCTATAACGAACATCTTAGTAAACACACTTTATAATGAAAAAAAGAATGAACTGTATATTTTCTCATGTTCCTTATTTATAAATAAATTATGACGTTAATTAATTATATTAATTATTTCACAAAATACCAAGTAAAAAAATTACAGGAAGCTCCCACGTTTTTGTTTAAAGTAAAGAAAATTTGATATAACTTCCACGAAGAATAGGTATATGTAGAGTAGGTGGAGATGTATTGTTATCTTGTTATTGACTGCTACTACATCCCTCAACTCATCTATATAGTTGTTTTCAAAAAATTCTATTTTTTAAATGTTTTTAATGATCCAAATTACACGAGTAAAACTAATATCACTTTACCTTGATCATTAGCATGAATTAAAAACAGGCAATTTTCTTTTGGTATTTAATAATATGGTTATTATTCACTTAAAATTTATTATTTCTATTTGTTTTAATATTAAATAGAAAATTTACTATTACTATTACTATTACTATGTTTACTAAGGTATCCGAAAATTGTCTTTAACTTTACAAGGTTTTTTTGAAATCACCTTCTAACAAAAAATTTTTTTTATTACTATATGATTGTATATGCTGAAAATGGATTTTGTGTTAGTGTAAGTTCATTTTCTGAAACGTTTCGGGAGGCCAAAAGAGTTTCTGGTCACAACACTGATATTTAGTCAATTGACAAAAGTTGATGAAAAGAAAAATTTGACAAAAAAAAAATAGTGAGAGAAAAAAATATAACCATTTTCACAAAGAAAATTTTTGTAATAATCTACAATAATAATTTTTATTTTACATATTTTACATTTAAGTAAAAATTTTAATTTTTTACTCTTTTGTCTGAGTCAAATTTGGATAAGCTACGTAAATTATGTTTCTTCTGGTTTGCATTTTTTTCTAATTTTTGAGAATTATTATTATCATCTTCATTTGTATTATTTCATAACATTCTTGTTCTAAATAATTATTTCTATCGGTTTCATTAACTTCACAATAATCATGAAAATAACTAAACTTATTGGATCATAGTTATTATCAGAAAATTCGTAAATTGATTCATCTTGATTAGTTTTGACTATCGTGTGACATTTTAATGAAGAACATTAAATTTAAAAGAAAAATTTAAATAAAATTTTTTAGAATTGTTTATAATATCTCCTTTTCGTCACATTTCCTTCCTTTCGTCGCATTTTCTTCTTTTCGTCACATTCAATTTACCATTTCGCCAAATGTGACAAAATAATTTCCCGCCTACAAAAACATTTCGTCAGGTATCATTAATTTGGTTGCAAATAGTATGACAACTCGATTGCTAGATATAATTTCTGTAAATCTGATTTATCAGACATCATCATCATCATCATCATCATCATCATCAAATAAAATACTCATAGCGTTTTCGTCATCGTCATCACCATCATCATTATTTGTAATCATTATCAACATCAGGATCTAATTTACCAAATTCTTTCTCGATTTCTTCTTCATCATCATCACCTTCATTTGTCTACAGAACACATTTATATTTTTGATAATTCTGTTGTAATGAGAATATTGCGTAAAATAATCGGTTGATGATATTGATCAATGTGTAATGAACCGATGGTTGGTAGGGTGCAAAGTAAAGCAAACTCGACAGCAGCAGTTGTGGAAGCTGTTTATAACTACTTGGATGTATTTCTATACGCAGTCAAAATTCTAGATCTTAGCTGAAAATTAGAATTTTTATTAGTGTTATCTTCTAGAAATTTTGAAATCAATAAAGTTTTGCATTTTTATGATTAATAAATTTCAGGAAGATTTTGGAAACCATTAATTGGATTGATAGAATCAATGTTGCATACTGCTCATGATATTTATTGATAATAAAACTTGTCAAATACCATTTTTTCCATTGAAATTTATGAACAATTATTGTCTTTTTGAGCTCTGTAATAATTTCATTGAATCCTCTCTCTCTCTCTATTACATCAACGTTATTATTGTCAAACATGTATCAGCAGTACGTTATCATCAACGTTATCACCAATGTTATCATCAACGTGTATCATCAACACATTACCATCAACGTTATCATCAGCGTGTATCATCAACACGTTATTGTCAACGTATACCATCAACGTTATCATCAACTATCAATGTAGGCTTGTAATTCACTCGTATCATTTTTTTTAATGTAATGACCACAAACAAATTCAGTAAAGGCTGAAAGTGTTAACATACCTACTGCCTCTGCTCCATGATCCACATCTTCTCTGTCTTGATTAATGTCATTCAAGTAGCCTTTTCAGGTTTTAACAGTGCCATCTCAATGACCTTGGTTGTCCCCACGTTATCATCAACATTATCATCGTGCACTCATACAATATTGTAGAGAAATCATACTAATAATCCATTATTCAAATGTACGATGAGATCTAATTTCATATCTGTTTTTCATAACTGAATTCTTTTTATTTTATTTTTAATATTTTATTTTTGTAATTTGTTTTTAATGTATAATTTGTTTTAAATGAATGTATGTTTTATTTTTAGTTTTTTTGGAAAAATTTTTTCCCACACAGTTAATTTTTTTATTAAAAATAATAAAAGTTTTAACGCTACCATGCAACAGCTCCTCTGATCAGGTACCCTACCGATAAGAATACCCTCTCAACATGGAAATCTGTTACACAGCCGACATCGCACACCGTGAGGAATGGTCAGTCAGAAGCCTACCATGTCTTTACTTATACCTTCTGTCTGCAAGGCGAATAACTGGATCTTACAGCTCCAACGTCAACCCCAAGATCCCCCATACATGGTCTAGCGCCTGGTTCCTGATCAAGGAGGCTTAATGCTAAACCATATACGAGAAACCCTGTAACTGAAGATTGATACTAGTGATCAACTAATATCGAATTATCAGCTGCCTACCACTAATGCAAAAATTTTGAATTATATATTTACTGAAAAAAAATTTTTTTTTAATTATGGGATACTAACACACTCATTTTACAATATTCCATTGGATAAATTCTATTTACTAAATAATTTTTTTTTATTTCTTTATTATATCAAACAACTAATGTCAATTCCAAAGATATAGAGTATTGCAATTGTGCGAAAGTCAAAGGGTTTCGCCATAAGTTGAAACGGGTTTTGACTTTTGATTTAGTTTTGACATGTAACTTTTTGACTTTTGCCTCTTCAAAATAGTTTTGGCGGCCAACACTAATACAATCATAAAACAATTTTCAAAAACATACTTGATAAATGTTTTAACAATTATTCGATAGAAAAAGTAAAGTTGTATGACAGGCAAATTTGTATTAAAGCGATTGTTAAAAAACAAGATACACATTCCATGAAGCTTCCAGGTTTGTAAATATATCAATTTTTCTTTTTTATTTACGATCAACATCTTGCGATCATATAACGCACATAATGATATTGTATTCTCCTGCAACCATTAATATAGTAGTAATAAGAATCTCATTGAAAAAAAAATCAACTATATAATAATATTTATAAGGAAAATAAAAGAAATACTTCAAGTATGTCGAATTAATAAATCAAGAAAATGGAGAAGGTTGTCAGAAGCTGCATTAAAAGTTGGTAATAATAATAATAATAAACAATACAAATTTTTTGTTCTTTACCATCAAAACCTTTACCCGATATAAATAATTCACTATCTAACAATTTTAATATATACTGCTCCACCGCTTATATTACTGCTATTCCTTTCTCTTCTTCTTCTATTTTTACTACCAATCAAAATCAATTAATGACAGTTAATAATTCAACTCGAATTCTCAAAGATATAAAGGTTAAGAAACAAGTGCATCATAATAATGTTGAACTTTAATCATAATTTTAATTCATCACTATTGACAACATCAATTTTAAAAAATAGGGTGCAATTTTTATGTTGTCTATGATGAAACAATTATTTATATGGAGCATTTTTTATAAAATAGAAGCACAATTCATTAATAATTTAGCTCTAATTAAAACCTTTTATTAATGATACAAACTAATGTGCATGCCGTATGATGGTGATTGAATTAGGTGGTGATGGATTGGTTGAAAAAACGAAATCAAGTGATTCTGACTTTTGTTATTGGATGAAGCCTGATCATCAACATAGGTAAATATTTTTTTTGTTTGTGTTGGAATTATTAAACCAAATGGATATATTGATCCTTCATTCGAATGTTATTTTTTGTTTATTGAAATTTCTTCAAATTTCATTATAATCTATATCCTAATTAATTTATTTATCCAAAAAAAATGGCGAGTCAATTTATTTGGTAGGGGGGGGGGGGGGGGGGGGATGTATAAATGTCACAATTGCATTACGCAATTTGACATGTATCAAACAAAATAAATTATATAATGGTTTTTCCAGTAAGCTTTTAAAGTCACATACCAATCAACAAATACATCGTCCAATTTGCCAATTAATGATAATAATAATAACAAGACCATGCAGAAATGAGATTTAAAGAACCACATTCAGGTGAGAAACTTGGAAAATAAACCTTTGATAATTTTAATCGATCCTCTTTTCCATGTAGGATAATGGATCCATCCAAATAATGTTGTGGAGAATTTTAGTGGTCGAGACTCTAATTTGGTTCCCTTCATTGTGTGCATGTGGTGTATGCATGCATGTTTCCCGATTGCATATAATTACAAGCCATAGCACGATTTTTCATAGATATCTGACTCCAATGAACTAAATTGAGGACAGATTTAACCTTCGAACTTTATTATTATTATTATTACATGAATTGTTAAACTCCATACAAAAATATATGATACAAAATAAGGAATGGGCTTGGCACAAATTTAGATAAAATTTCATCAATTTCCTTTGAAATCATTGCAACAACAAAACAATTATATAGCAATAGTCGAAAAACCAATACTTATCCCTAGATTGGAAAGGGATGACTTGGCAATGAATGAGATAGAAATTTGGGACTGTATCATTCAATGGGGAATTGGACAAATTGAAAATTTGGGTGAAAAAAATATTTCAGGGTGGAATGAATATGGCTTTAAAGAATTAAAAAATACATATATTAAAAGATTATATACAAGTTTCTTGGAAATGCCTTTTGAATATTCTCTGAAAAAAAAAATTTATGCCTTACAAGGATGTTTTTAACAAAGATTTAATGAAAAATAACGCCTATTTAAAATAGATCATTATAAATTAATAATAAGCACATCCAAACACAAATACTGATATTAACATCAAATCTTATCTAATATATATACTGTATATACTAGCATGTAATAAACACCTCATGCAGATAATTAGCAGAGGTGGCAAATAATATAAAAAATATGAGAGCTGAAACACAAATGTCTTCAAGTGCTATATTAATATATTAATATTATATGGGACAAAACTGACAGTGTACTATGAAAGGAGTTCAAGAAATCATAATTTGAACCGAATTTAACTCTGTTGAGTCCAACATCACTCCAAATATATTGATATTATGAGAGAATGAATGTTTGATGTTGGAAATTCATTATCAACTTTTATTTATTTAGAACTATAAAAAAACTGACATTGAATTGTGTAACGAATATCTTGACTTTTTAATAACTCCATAATAATTTTTGGAAAATTTCTGAGATGATCACCATCACCGTTTAAAATAAATAATAAAAAAACAAAAACTGGCCTAACTGAAGAATGTCCCAAAAGGTAAATCAGAGTTTCACAGGAATGAACTGATTTCTTTAAGTATAGTATTAAGAATAGGACATGACAATGATATGACAATGATATGACAATGATATGATATAGACATGATAATGAAATTATCATTAGGATAAAATAATTTTTTGGGAACAAATTATTTACTTTTGTTGGGTGTTTGATTTAAAAAAAGAATCAAAAATTTTGATTGAAATTTGGTTCCTTTGATCCCTTGTAGATCAAATCAAATTGAAATTTTCTTTGTGATTGATTCAACTAAATAAATGTCAGTTACTTTTTGTTAATATATAAGTATAAAGTATAAAGGTAAAATTGTTACAAAATTTTATGAATTTTTGTAGAATTTGTTTAGTTTAGAACTAAGAAAAATTCAGGATTTAATTTTTATTATTTGTTTGAAAATTTCAGAAAGAAAAGAGAAAAACAGCCTTTGATTATCATAATTGATAGGGATGGGGGAGTTTGGTTTGGTTTGGTTTGACGTTGAATTGCATTGACTTCATCTAAAACTGCTATAATAAGACGAGATGAGAATTCGATACAAGAAAGGCTCTCTACTTGAACTATAATAACATCCCATTTATCTACAGATAAGTTCTGTTCATCTTGGTAGTTACAGATTTTGAGCCCCGATAATTTGAGTTCATTGATTTTTCCTTGTGATTCGTTACTAAGAGTTTTTCGATAAGAGATCCAAATAATAGCAGGTAATTGTGTTCCACTTCTAGATAAAGTCTCAATATTCCTTCTTAAACCTTTCGTTTTTCCTGTCATCATAGGAGAGCGAATCAAAGTTGTACTAGGTTTGTTACTCAAGAAATTGGGATAAACTTCTGGAGCATTTTCCATTTCCTTTACATTAATAACTTCTCCAGGTAATTTAGGAAGTGGACGTGGATTTAATACAGCTTTGGCGATTCTTTCATTTAATCCCAATTTAGGTTTCACTATTGATTTGACTTTGTCTGATACTTTATCGAAGCTAAGGCCCTTGTGATCTGGCTTGTATTGTTTTTGACGATAACACTTAAGTATGAAATGCCCATTTTGACGAATAAATCCATAGAGCTGATCTTTTTCATGTTTAACATCGCATATAGGACACTCTTTAACTGATTGTGTTTGAAAGTTGATGAATCCTTTCTCAGTTCTTCCAATCTGAAGCCACCCATATTTTTCAATAACTAGATTAGCACCTTTATTCAAAGCATTTTCATCATTGATGGGCTGGGATTCTTGTTTTACTGGCTCCTCAGAAGAAAAGGTTCGGGGCCAGATTTCAGAAACATCAAACCTAGGTTGAACTAGATAATCTTCTAGCTTACGATATCCTTTCTTAACTGAAGAAATTGTAGGTCTTTTAGTTCTATCACCCTTTGCCGACCCAAGAAGACGAAGACTGAAGCGAGATTTATAGAGTCCTATATCAATAAATTCTGAGTATGGCTTTCCAATCCTATTAGCAACTTTTTCCACAAAACCTTTAAGATCTCTATAGTCAATAAAACAGGCATGGGG